AAATCAGTTTAAGAATGGATAATCACGCATTCGCTGCTTGACGTTTAATTTGTCTCTGAATGAACTTGACATTGTATTATACGTATTTTAAATTGAACAAAAAATGTTTTATGTGTTATTTGTAGGTGGTTGGCAAGGAATAAAATGAACTGGTTTTGTTTAGATGTGACGTCATGCTGATTAAATCTAGTCTCCTACAAAAACCCACACTTCAAGATACGCATTTCTTTGCGATCGTACTTTTTCGCGCGCATACGTAAATATTCACTAAACGAAGTAACACCGCATGCAATCTTCCAAAACTGACAAAATCCCGCTTGTAAGGTGATTGGTCAAAGCGTCACCATCATTTCTCACTTGCAAAACATCATATCTAAACGCTGTATTATCATGCCAAGTTGACGCACTTAGTCACCTAATCGTGTCTTCATGTCAATGCAGGTAACCTTAGCAACATTAACCAGTTCCGTTCTACTAACAAAATGAGTTGTGGGATTTTAATTATTGAAATGTGTCAAATATCATGGCCGAGATTATATATACCACTTCAACATCATCTTCGACGGAAAGTGTTTGGGCCTTAAGTGCCCACCACAATACCATTTCGGGCGTAGGACGGAAGGGAGGGAGGGGTAACAAATCGATACACTAGTTTAAGAATATGAATTAATACTCTTAGATACTCACACGAGAAGATTTACGGAAATAACTTTTATAATTTTTTACTTAATTTTTTTTCACCAAAAACAATGCAATAATTTGTTACCAAGAATATCCCTATACGAGTATTTTTACTATGTAATGACCCCGGATTTGGTGAGTTTTTCTCTTTTTTATAGTCAATTTCTCCAGGTTTTTTTAGAGAGTTTTTTATAAACCTCATCATGCTGATTTATGTGGAAGTGGGAAGTGTGGAAGAACCAAGATCCGTAAAACCAGACAATCAAATCAGAAGTAGTAATACCTGGGTACCTACATGGTACATATATGTTATCATAAAAAACATGAAGAAATTGACCTCTCTCGTTTTGAATTTGGATCTAAAACTGCCAGATAAATCAGTAAACCGACAAGTTTTCAAAAGAAAAAGGTCTATTATACAGAAAATAAAATGCAGAATAGACGAATACATACGATTTACGACATATAATTGTGCGATTATACTTGGTTTGTTTTTATGTGGTGATACACATGTTTGTAAATCGCGCCCTCTAACGAGGACTACTAGTATCTTGGAAAATGATAGGAGTGAGATTTCAAACAAAATTGCAAAACTAATAATAGTCAGCCAATCTGATTAAAATAAGATCCTAGTTTGGGCTTTTTTTTTT